TTTCAATCCCTCGCACACGGAAAATCGTGTGAAAAATACATATCTATTGTATCCTTGGGGATTTTTTTTTCCTCCTACTTTTCTAGGAAAGTACCAGAAAAAGTTGCAGGGGTGCACAGCAAGAGAATTCCCATCTCTCCCGATTTTGAGAGCAATGCAATCATTGAGCCTTGATGGCGTGCTATCCGAAAAACATAAATACAGTACTGTATAGTAATTATATTGTATTATTCTCCGTCTTCATTTTCATCCCGCGATTTTCCTTACGGAATACCGGAAATGAGACACCCGATTCTTCTGCACTCTTGAACACCCCCGAAAACACTGCCGTTTTTTAAACGGCGGTTCCATTGATTGTTCGTTAAGCTCAGTAATAATTTACGAGTCAGAACCGGAAATTTACGAGGCATGAGAGTGATGAGATCAAGACTCTGGATTCGAAGTACCGAAACTTTATCGCACACGAGGCACCTTAATGCCCGCAAATCCTTCTAGAATCTAGAATATCTAGATATTTACGGGGGTTCTCAAAGTCTGCCTCGCGGAACCCCAATGGTTTTTCAGCTAATTTCCCAGTAATTCCATGTCTGCTCCACGGAGAAAAAAAAAGAAACACTAAAAAAATTCAAGACGAAAAACAGGGTCTCCAAAGAATGGATAGTATTCGTAACTCCACAATTCATGGCAAACGGACCATAAAGACACGTTTCCCTTTATAACTCCCAAAAGTGTGTGTAGAGGGCAAATGTCCCGCAAACGCAAAAGGCATACGGTAGGCCCAACGGGATCCGCCGCAGAATTTAATTTTGAAAAACGCTTGGGAAATAAATGAATCTAAATAAAGGCTGGTCCCAGGTCAGAAGGGTTTTTTTTTTTACTCTGATTCGCACCACTGGAAGCTATCCAAGGGCGTCGTAAGTTCCCAACAGCTACGCCGATTGAACATGGCCTAGAAAACAGGAAATGTGTCGCTCCATTAAACCACTGTTCATCTGTTGAAAAAAATCCCGTTACCGCGAACCAGTAGAACGTTTTGCGTTACTGTACTTCTCACCAGAATTGAAAAAATATAAATACCGGTAAATAAACACCGCCCACCACCCCCCACATAAGGATTCAGAATGCAGAACGGAATACTGGAAAATGTGACAAAATCAGACTTCAAACTTTAAAAGCAAATGCAATTTTTTACGAGTAACACGCGATACACGCGACTGACTTTCTCAATCTCTTAAAAGTAAATCAGAATAATTGTCTACTGGGTCCTCGCAATATATGTTTTTTAATCCAGCCACTTTTTGCGATTATTCAAATCTGCGTAAATAAAAAGTCGTCTGATTTTAGAGCGCATTCAAATGAAGAATATTTATTAAGCGTCCACTTCATTCGCAATTTCAACCGGAAGAGAACAGTTTAGGAGGACGGATCACTTCAATGGTCTGAATAATTTTCTGTCCTCGCCAGACTGAAATTGCTATCAGAGATTAAGAAAGAAAGAAATAAACCACATGTTTAGCACCCATTAATACATGAATCCAGGCGATTTTTCATCATTTCTTATAAGATATCAGGGCAGCGAAGTGTCTTTAAAAATGACCGAAATATTTTCAGTGATATCACTGATCCATCAGGGATCCATCCTGATCCATTCATCAGGTAATGAAGGTACAGCTGTCGGTTGTCGCACTTTAAATGGGTTACGAAAATGGGTAGTAAATTTTATTCAAGAGAATACGGAAGTTTTTGATCGAGAGCTGAGTAATGCGATCAAATCGGGAGGAAATTCCAGAATAGTGAAGTAAAAATAGAATATCTACAGTATTTAAATGAGTAACCACATTTTTCACCGACCTGCGCGCGGAAATCACGACACTTTTCACAACTCACACGTTTCCAATGTCCGAACTATTTTAGCACAGCTTCGAGCATTTTATAATTCGAGCTATTTTTGCGATAAATGCCGAGTCTTACGGATGTACACTATTTACTATTTTCCATAAAGCCATTTTCGAAGCGCGTTTATACAGTTGAACATCGATAAATCGAATCTTCGAAACTCGAGCGATTCCCTGTGTCAATACTGTATTTTCTTTCAAGTTGTTGTTCGAATTTCCTTAGAAGCAATGCATTAAAAACCTACCTAACTCAAAGGATTTCCCCACTAAACCTCCACAACTCGAATTTTCTGGAGACATTTTGCCCATTAATTAGATACATGTGTGAAAAGCATCGAAAATATAAATCGATGTGTTCTGTAAAGAGGTAAAAGATTTACTGGCCAAATGAACCCATGTGCATAAGTTCACCATCCTGTCAACTCAGTTGAGAAGAAATTATTTGAGGCCCCGAGTGCCACCGATTACAATTTCCTGTAATTCTCATTTCTCCCACCCCTGACAAAAAAAAAACCTTGTTTCCGTAACTCCCTTTTTTTCGCTGGTATATTTTAAAGTTCGACTCATCGGTTTGACTGTATCACCGAAAATTCGAAGAAAGCCCCCTTCAGAAGTAAATTAGTCCCAGGCTTTCTTCTCAGAGCATTACCAGACGATTAAATTCATTCGATTTTCTGATTTCGCGATGAAAGCTCGATGCTGAAAGTGTATGCATCCGTCACTCCGAATTTCACCGAGTCCACGACATAAAAAAATTTAAAAAAAACTCCACCAAACTTTCAACTCGATCCCATCACTTCATTTCATTTTCCCATACTGATTCGAAACTCACTATACTGGACTGTACTCTAGTGATAACTCCCTAGATTCCGTATAGCTCACCACGAAATTCCGGACATACGTCGCGGTTTCTAACCTCAGCATGAATCGACGCACGCGTAAATTCCTGACATTTCTTTCCGATTGCGATTCCATTCAACCACAAAAGAAGCGTCTGGCGACAATTATCGTCGCCAGCAAGCCGCGAAGATAGCCATCCGCCACTGCTGGGTTGGACGCACTACAAGTACCGGCAGTGCGAATGGACTCCAACTGAGCGACAGTCACGCTGCCCTTTTCGGAAACGTTGGGACTCGCGCACGAAGCCGAAAGCCCTTTCTTGTGGCATTTCCGCGAACAAAAGCAACATTAGGTGAACTTCTCCTTCGCTGTTCCGAAAATCTATGCTCAACTTTCTGTTGTGCACAACTGTGGATCCCGCGCAACCCGGGCCAGTGTTTTCTCTTGTTTTGCACAGGTGTCGCTTGAATTTTGATACAGTACCTTGACCTTCATCTGGTGATCACACTAATTCAGGTCAAAATCGTACATGTTCAGAATTGAGACAACATCAACCCTATGCAGCATTTAAGAAGAGAAAATTTTGGGCAAAAGCATAGATGAAATGAAAATATCTGCCTGTGATTGCGTTTTCCTCTGACGGCGATAATGACAGGCCTTTCTCAAAAGGGGGAAAACAAAAACATAACTTCGCCAATTCGGGTTAATGATTCGATGTCTTCACCCGGATGCTGAAAACAAATCCGCGGTAATATGAACTTGAAAATGTAAAAATGTAATGGCACTGCATTCAATAACTACATAACTTTAAAATATCCACGCAACACCTTTCCGAGATGGAAAACCTGTTTTCTTGATAAATCTGTCACGAGTCCATGATGCGTACTTTCTTGCTGCTTCTGACGAGGTCATCTACTTATTGCATTAATCGGGTAGTGAACAAAATTCCTGTAGCAAGTTGATCATGATACATTATTATAATGATCACAGATTTTGGAAGATGTTTACGGCAATATTTTGCTTGCGATTCTAGGACTTCGTCGATTCTAAGGTGCAAACACGCATCGTGGTTTCCGGAGAAGTTAGCCATATATCCGCGAAAGCGTGGTACGTACATTCGCGTTAAACTAATACAGTATCCGAATTTAATTCCCACAGTCGAAAACCCCAAGTTGAAATTCCCTGATTCTCTAATTAGTTTTTCCTTTTTTAATTTTGACATTAGCTCGAATAATGAACACTTCGAATATAAAATATTTTCTCAAAATTGATTCTGGCTCTTCCGGATATTTTCTCTGCATAAGGATCCTTCTTCGTGAAATGAACTGCATATGTCATTTTCATTCAAAATAAATTTACCTTTCAGTGAGAAACATAGCTGCCAGTTCCATTTTTCCTAAAATAATTGATTTCCTCGAAAGACCTTCAAAATCGACGTAAGTTTATTACGCAAATAACCTGTGTAAGTAGAAGTCGTCAAGTAAGTTCTTAAATAGTTCACAGGTGGACTACACCGTACGTAGTCAGTAAAATCCGTTTAATTTAATGAGTCAGTTAAGTGGGGGGGTTCTAGAGCCGATCAATCATTGTACACAACAAAAAGCTTCGCGTTACTCGGTTGACGAAACTCTTCGAATAATGTACATCCCATTAAAAAGGATCACGTCCATGCACCGAGACATCACAATTTTTCCATGAAATTTTTCGAATATGATTTATTTCTTTGAGGCACGAAAGTGTGAACCCCAACACATGACGCTCCCACACAAAGAAACCAACCGAAAAAAAACGAGAGAAGTAGGCAAACAACGCGCTCATCGACACTTGGGGAGTCCAAGCGCCTGTAGCGACGAATCACCCATGTCGACGACAATGATACCACATAACCCATCTCACGTCACACACGTCAGCCCAGGGATGACTCAGGCGTGCAAGATAACGTCGACAATCGCGAGAGTTGTGTGATACGGGGAAACTTGATCACATCGCAATCGCATTGAGTCTAGATACCGTTAAATAATTCCTCGCCGTAAACTGGCCGGAAAGCTCCAACAACAGCACGCGAGTTTGATGCGACTTGAGAGGATTTTCACACGGAATCTGTGCATTTCCTCAACTCGAGCAATCGAACACAACTGACTGAGTGAAAACCCTTCATAAAATAGGTCGCTTAAAGGTTTTAAAACGAACTTGAGTAATGTCGGTGAACTGACGCGGTCCGTCTATGACTTTTTCCGGAAAGCTTAAAGTCTGATCGTTATTTAAATGTCGAGACGACGATATAGTTCATTACCTACGGGGAGAGGAAATGTTGAACTGATAGTAGGTAAAGGTTTGTTCTTCGGTAAAGTATAGTTTTGTACTTTGAAGTCTTATTTTTTACGCTGATCCTAAACTTTAATGAACTACACATGCTTCCCTAGATTCAGCACTAATGCAATATAATTCAATACGCAATATGAATTTTTGTTAATTATTTGTTAAATTACTACAGTATATAATAATCAAGCTGAACATGGCGCGTTTTAAGCTTCAGTTTTATTTCCTTCAATTTTCGACCATTCGAAATTTATTTCAGCAGAAAAACAAATCCAATAGTCGCACACTTGAAAGCAATTTCTGAGGTCCCTTCAATAGAAACAGCCCAAAACCCAGCGCTTTCCAACAAGTCCAAGTCATTATGTAAATACCATCATATCAAGAGAACAGAAAGAAAGCAGTTTTTGTTAGCAACTTAGCATGCGAATTAGTCCTCTCACACTAGATCTGCATTGAATTCATCCGGCGGAAGATGAGAAAAAAATAGCCGTAACTTATCAGAAAAATTTGCATAATAATTTTATCTATGAGATTCATCCTCGAACAATGCCCTGGCGGAACGAATTAGAAATTCATAACTCAGGTGATAGCAGCATCTATTGTATGTAGTTCCGACAAAATCGTGGGAAAATAACCCGAAGCTCTTTGAAAAACGTGAAATACTGTACAATATTACGAACGGGAGTTGGTCAAAACTGACAGCAATTCTTGCGAAGTACGGTACTGTATAGCCAGTAACCAACACAGCACAAACTTCGTAGAAGTTCCAAGTTGTTACTAAAAAAAAGTAACAACTTATTCCTAGTGAATAATTTTTCGAAGTGTGCCTGGTGGTCATTGTAATTGTAATGCAGCTCAATTGTAAAATTATGCATAATTTGTCGAAAGGGAAACGAATATAGAAGTTATAATAGCACAATTCATTTCATCTCGATAGAGAAACACATTCAGGAAGGAACGTTCACGCTTCCATTTATCCTCAGAGTGATGTACTGGTTTATGCCTCGATGTAAAATACAGAGGGTAACTTAGATCAAAATGTATCAAAACAAACTCAAAAATCCATCATGCCAACATTTTGTTCGAGATTTTCCGGGCAGGATGTTCAGTTAAAAATACTCAGAACAAAAGGCGTAATTCAAACTGCTTCATTTCACTCCTTCTGGAAATGCAATGAATTCCATTTTCCTGCAACAACGACAAAAAGTTTCGCAACAATGGCACTCTTATGATTAATTAGGGTAAAGAATATAAAAATTGACTAAGCAAGAATGACGAAGATCCAAATCCACATTAAATAAATTTTCACAACGTTACAACATAAGACCAGCCTCAATCCAAAACTGAAAAACGATTCTAGCAAAATATACCATAACTGGAATCTTCGGCATCTGTGAATTAATTCTAGCGTCAAAACCTTCAACAGAAGGATTATAAATCTTCGTTCCCCTCCTGTGAATTACCATCAAAGAAGAGCAAACCGCAAACAAAAAGTCACTCCCATTCCCAGAACTCGGTGAAGGTTCGGAAGTCTTTCAAAACTCTTAGAGGAGTCCGTAGAGTTCATATCCCCTTTATTCCGTCTAAAAGGTGGTTAAGAAGCGTCCCGAAAAGCGGGTACGGTTTAAGGTTCTGTGAAATAGGGATGAATGAGTGAAGTGACAGTTTTACAGTATATTATCAGACGCGGACAAATTGGTCCCACAATGCAAAGAGCCAGAGGACGACGGAGAAAAACCGGAAATCCGGTTTGGGGCCCTGGAAGCCCGCAGGGTGCCCAAGACAGGAATCCTTGGGGTGTCCATCAGTGATCTCGAACTGTGTCTCTTCTACATGTTCTTTTTCGCGTGCTGCCTCTTTGGTTATTGGCACCTCGTCAAGGGCATGGACCACTGGTTCAAATCCAGCCCGAAACCCAATCCATACGCCTTTGGGCAAAGCTTCGTGCATATGAACATGCTTGTCGGATTGACTGGAGCAGCAAGACACCTCTTCGGCTCGCAATATGTTCACTACTTTGTCATCGTTTCGTACCTCACATTCCTCACCATGAGCATTGGATATCCCATATTGGCGTGTGATTTTCATCGGAGCATGCACGCTCAGCATAAGTTGGCATATTTTCATGTTTTGGGGGCACTGCCGCCCACTATTGCCTGGATGAAGGGTCAACAACTCAGGGCGTACAACTTCGTCAAGTGGACGACTTGGGTGTGCCTCATGTCCATTGCGTGTCTGTGTGTTCAGGAAGGTAATCTTTTGGTATAGTTTGACCATTCACTACAGGTGAAACCCTGATAACTCGAACCTCCCTGAGTCGAATACCCCCTAAGTCGAAATTTTTTTTCAGGTCCCTCTCTGATTCTCTGTTTCAAAAGCCTCCCTAAGTCAAAAGCTTTTCCCTCAAACCTCCATAAGTTTAGTTTTCTGTGGCCTCTTTGCCATTACTTTCTCGACACAAGAAATGAGCAATAAAAACAGAAATTTGTGTGTTTGACAGGAAGTGAAAGACTTAATTGGACAAATGAACTCCTGCCTCCAAGTTCAGCAGCCTTTCAACTCATTTAAGAAGCCATTTAAGCCCCAGAATATCACCATTTTAATTTTTTTTCCTAAGTTTCCCTGATAAAAGGACTTCGTATTGTAGTTTAAACCTATTTTCAACTGTATTTGGAAATCTGGCACATGCACTGCCAATAACCCGGCCAAGATTATTTCCCGGGTCTAACATACCTCATTCTGGCGAATATAGAGAGATATTGCATTTACAATAATACATGGAGAGTTCCATCCGTGTATAATCTGCATATTATACTGCCATGAACCTGGATAGACCCCTACGCGTCAACTGTTGCTACTGTCAATTGCTTCGAAGATCGAGTTGATCGATTGAAAATACACATGTGGATCCTTTTTTTTGAGATCTCGTAAAAATTCAATTTCTTGAGGTGGTTCCTCGTTCAGCACCTCGATGGATTAAGGATACCCAGCACGTTAGAATACTGGAAGAAAGGTGAAAATAACTCGCATTCCCGAATATCTTCTTTTCAACCGTATTCAGCGCGATGGTGGGCAATATTCGGAGCATTTCTCGCCATTTTCACCCTGGAATACATTGCGCCGCAGCAAGAACGTCGCTTCGTGTTCATGGGCTTCTCCTGGCACCTTTTCTTCTACGGCATTGCCATTATTGCCCTGTGCTTCTCTCTTCAGCCAGAACCCATCCACCCGTGGCACAAGGCCATCAACGAGGAACTAACCAATGCCTACAATCAAGCTATGCAAGTCTGGAACGCAATCCTCGCTGCCTGGAATCCGATTGAAGAAGCCGAGTGTGTACCTGATCCTGATGCTCAAGACGTGGAAGGGTTTCCATTTGAAAAGGGTAAAGGAGGAGGGAAGGGGAAACGACATCAAGCAGCAGCACCGCCACCACCGCCGGCAGATGGCGGCAAGGGCAAAGGAAAGGGTAAAGGCAAAGGCAAAGGCAAGACAGGCGGCGATGAACCTCCTCTCAATCGCAAACCAGGTAACTGAACCTAATCGTTATTCATTCCAAAGTAGACAAACACGGCTACTGTGAAAAAAAATATCGGCATAGTTTGACGCGCTAGGAAAAAGGTTGGAATTCGAATGATTCATTTTTGCTGATGTGTTTTTAAAACATTCTCTGTAGTACAGGTGCACTCGGATCTACCTCGAAATTCAAGGGAACAGACAAAAATACTTCGTAGAGAATTTCGTGGTAAATGAGCCCTTGTGACCACAAGAAAATACGTTAAACAAAACGGAAAATTTTCGTAGCGCGAGTCTACCTTTATCTGAAGGAACTAAATCCGTTTGGATTCAATTCCTTAAAAATATCCGAAGCGAACAGTGAAGGCTACCTACGACTCATTGTCATAACTTGAAGTTGAATGAAAAATTTACATTCAGTACATTTTTCTGAAGTTTTTTGTTTTTGCACCTCCCCAAATTCTTCGGGGACGGTTGGAAACTCATGAGTTGGGACAAGTTTCTCCCGAAGTTTGACCTTCAGTGAGAGTAACATTCACTTTGAAATTTAAACCCAAATCGTATTTCTGCATCTGTCATCATCTGAGACATCAAGAAGACTTGAATATCAACGACAGAAACCGAATGAATCCAACTTTTGCCGAACTAGTATTATTTTACCTTTGCTGCTCATACACGATACATGTCACGAAACGCAGCGATTTTTGGCACAAAAAATTAAATGAGGTTTCCTATATTTTGTCAGAGGATTACTTAAATCCGTTTTTTTTTCGTTCTCCTCACATCTAAGACCACATGAAGATTTCAAGACACTGGAGGAAAAATGTCTCATCTCCATAACTCAATAAGTAGCATTCCTCAGTAACTAAATCATCTGCACACCAAATCATTTGTCAGTACCCGTATTTCTAGAGAAATGGGTCACATGCATTAATTAATCGTGATTTTCGTGAATTACCTCCCTGTGCGTTTCTATCAGGTTTCATACGAGTCCAAGACAAATGGGTCCCCATCTGCAAACCCTGGCAGCGCCCGATGAAACCAGGCAGCAAGCAGGAACAAGCTGGCAAGGCAGGGAAGGGCAAGAAAGGAGGAAAAGCAGGCAAGGGGGGAGCTGGTGAACCCGCACCTCAAGAGGCTAAAGGAAAACCCAAAGGAAAGGCTCCGAAGGGAAAAGCACCTGAGAATCAACAGGGCAACGTCAACAGGGCTGCTAAAGGACCCGAGACCGGACATCACCTTCTCCAAGATTCCAACGACTATTTCTAATTATTAATTGATGAATATTCTTGTGTGTATCTAGTAACAATACATTATTACAAATCGTATTTCGTAGTTCTGCTCCATTGCGCTTGGAAATTTGAGGCTTGAAATTGCTTATCCAAGCCTATTTAAGATTTCTGATTACAGATCCCCGAGATTAATAATTCGGAAGGTGCTTCATAAAACCTATTTATTTACGAGAACATCCCAAAAAAGGCACAGAAAACTTAAACTACACATGGACTCTCTCCAATAATCTTGTCCACAGCTATTCTCTCTGTATAACTGAAAATCCGGTAGATTTAATTAAGTTATTCACCGTGTTATTAGGGTTCTCTGCAACGGAATTCAAGGGAACAGAAAAAAATCGTCGAGAGAATTTCGTCGTAGGCAGAGTTCTTCCGCCGAAGATGCAACAAATTTCACTCGAAATGGCATACTGCATGGAAACTCCCAAACAATACGTTGATCAGTTCAGTTTCCAGCCCAAAATAACGGACGAAGAAGCCACCAAAAACATACCCAGCAAGGGGAAATATTATATTCAAGTTCAGTATAACAAGTGCTCGAGATAGTCGAGAATAAGATTAATACAAATCCATTCTAGGTGCATTTCTTTATTAATAAATCCCTTTATGAACTGTGCATACAATTCTTACACTTTACTACGACGAGTGAATGCCGTTCGCTGAACGGAGTACTGTATACTTTTCGCAGACGTGCATTTGTTTCTGTGTTATTCCAATTCCTTGAATGAATTCATTCAATAATCGAGAATTTTTCTTCCCAAGACATGGAATCTAATTCTACAGCAAAACTCAGGAGACCTCAAAAATTTAATTGAAGATAGAATTCTGTTGTAAGAAACCTCCATACAGCAGTATGGATAGAGATGCCTATGGGACCACACAAAATTCATTATACTGCACAGTACTGTACTGCACAGAGAAAATCGTAGGAAAGGTCATTGTGGAGATCAATCTACCTGCATGAGCGAATCTGATCACGATCGCAGAAAAAATTGAATGAAAAGTGGAAATCGAAGATTACAGTATCGAGTGAACATCTGAAGATGTGGTTATTCGATCAGGAGCAGCAATTCAGAACATACAGTACTTCCAAATTTAAATTACTGGGCTTGATTCAGTAATTACATACGAAGTAACTGAATTAATTCTAAGCAGGCATTATTTATTTACGTTGGGTTCGATAGGGAATCACGTTGGGTAGACGGTGGTAACCTAACGTGTTCGCAATTAGACAGCACGTAGATTAAATGAGATGGATAATTTGGAAGCATTGAAACGCGCTCGGGAAAAGTACAGTACAGTAGGCATTGCGATGAGCAGGACGGATCAAAAGTTGGACAAAATTTCAACAATCGCAAATCTTGACTGGTATGTTGGACTTCCATCGCGAAGAGCGTCGAACTCGAGTTTAATCAAATCCACATGCACCGTAATGTAGTTCACCACCTCGAAAGTTTTCAGTTTGATTAGTGTGCGAATTTGCATTTATAATTTTTCACGAGGAAAAGCTTTCACGTGGCTAGTCCCGAGGGCTAATCAAGAATCGACCAAGGATTGTCGTACTTCCTCATATCGCAGTTTCGTAATTCATAATCGGTCGAAATAAATTCCATAGGTCGAGTATATCAGTTCTGTGACGCATTACAGTACGGTAGGTTGATCGTGGGACATCGGGAGTCCGAAAATAAGATCACTTCTCCAGTCCTCGCGGTACTCGGGTTTGGAATCCTGACAGATATTCACAAGATTACAGTTGAAATATTTCCGGGCATTTCCGATCATCATCCGTGCCCGTAATCCGCTTCAAGTTTTGGAATTGTGACGTAACATTAAAGAGTGTAGGATAACGTTTGCGTCAGTCGTTTCTAAGCATCAAGGATTACGGAGATTCGCGTGTTCAAAGCGAACAGAGCAGCTAGACCCAGACACGAAAAGCACACACCAACATAAGCAGTTCGGCATAGGAGTAGAAACGAAAGATGCTCACGCTGATTAATGCCGGCCATCGTTCAGCTCAAACAAACGCTTGCCCAGCCACGCGATACTCACTCCACGCAAACTCTAATTTTTCCTTCATCACTTCTCGTTATCTGCGAAAATGAGAACGCAAAGCTTGTACCAACAAACCCATACTCCAAAACTCTGCGGATCCGAAACAAACCCAGATCTCACAACAGGACGAAACATTCTTTTATTCGCCTTAGCCGCAAAACTGGAAGTTGAGGAAGAAATGCTTTCATCGAATACCCGGTCTTGGGATTGCTATGCAAAAAGATCGTCGCGGCACGAGAAGGAAAAAACGAGTGCTTCCATCTGGTCGAATACGAAAAGATAATTTCCAAATGAGCCACCAAACAAAAAACGAGTTGAACGGTTCAGATCAATGAATTCCCGTCCACCAGGCAAGTTTTCTTCGCACGTCGCGCAATAAAATAAAACGAGCACACGAATAAACGTTACAGGTGCAGTATCACAATGTCATGATAAAAATCTAACTTGAAAAAGTCGAAAGAAGCATAAAAACTGCGACCACGAATAAATAAATATGTTTCTCCACATAATGCGTCGGAAAAGCTGAACGAAACATAGTGAGTTTTCAGCAGCAATACGAGACAATCGAGAAAGAAAATGCGCTTACAAAGTACCCATGTTCTTTTTCCTTTCGAAGCTTAGGAATTATAATCGCATCCTCTTTTTGACGACAAACCAAACAACTAGAAACTGCCAAAATTAAAAAAAAAATGAAGTACAGTATTGACAACGACGGGAAAGGCGTAAGATCATCAAAAATTCTGGCATGTTTTGTTTGAATCGTTCTGTACTCATCTGACGAATTATTTAGGAGTGAAACATGAAAACACGATAAACAGAGGAGGCGAAGGAGAGGGGCGAAAGATGAAAAACAAGATATTCCTTTAAAACCGTTTCCCCTCCCTCAAAAGGATGGCTTCGATTGTCGCGACACGGCGCAGGCACGCAGGCAACCCCAATCCAAAATATGTCCTCGCCCAAGCAGAGAAATAGAATTCCAAACCCAGGATTCATTGACGGTTGGCTGCTGGCCGGCCTAGAAAGCGGACGCAACGTAACGCCTCAAAGAAAAAATGAAATAAAATAGGACTGGCAAAGATTACAACAAACCCACACGACGTACGAAAACCTTTGAGAAATAACGAACATAAAATTGGTTTCAAATGTCAAGGGTTGCCCGACAAATATCGCTTGATCATGTGCTGACGACGTTCATTATACTGCGATCGCTTTTGGTTTGTTTTTTCATGTGTGGAAATACAATTCGATTCAAAGTGGAATTGCCAAATTGTAAAAAAAAAAACCACAGATCAGCAGGGAAACAAACGAGTCCGAAACACATGACCCCAAGCGAATTTGCACAAGGACGAACCCTTTTCGTTTCGCTTCACGGGACAAATAATTTCTATTTCGCGCATCAATTGGGGCCTGGTGCGGGCGGCGTTCCCTGGGTGGGCGGAGGCATTTGCATAGGATGGTGGAGAGGGGCGCCCATTGGCACCCCTGGTCGCATACCACCGCCCGCATTCGGGACCTCAGCAAGACCCTTTACTTTCAGTCGCTCGGCGACCTTGAGGAACGACTGGAGCTCCTCTTGAGCAACGTTCACCTCGCCGGAGTACATGAAGTCCAAGATGGCTTTCAACTGCTTGAACTCCACGTCCTTGAGGATGACGATTGGATGTTTTGCCGGATTCTCCTACAATAAAATCAGTTTAGTAACTCAAACTCGTCACGTCCCACATAATCATACTGTACTGTATATCAAAAATCTGGATACCTTGCGCAATCTTTTCTCAGACTTTCATTTAGCTTCGCATGTATACCGTATTATGTACCAGTGTCGTACTGTGTAAGTGTTCGCCCGTGAGGATCAAATCGCTCAAGTTTTCGAACATTTTCGATCATCCAAATGAACGGCAGCATCGAATTTAAAATTCAATAATACGTTATCCACCTTATTGTTCTCACGATAATTTGGCTAAAATTGGTAGTAACGCGACACAGAGCATTTCCTAGAGAACATGTCACGGTTCATGATACTTCGTGCAACTAGGACTATTTCAGCGTCAGTTTTTGTCTTCCGAGAAGTTCTCTACTTATAAAAACCCTATTACAGCGCGAGATTACATGAATTTCATCGCAAAATTTACCGAAAAGAATCCATCAACAATTCTGTTGACTTTCGATTCACCACGAATGAATTTTCCGCAGGCCAGATTTGAACCGAAAACCTCGAAGAAAAATCAATCTTTCCAACAAACATAGGAGCGTTAGTCTGTTACACTGGATTGAAACATGGTTTTGCGCTGGTGATTCTATCTTCGGTTTTCCAGGCCACTCAAGCCATAGAAGTGGACAACAGCGGATAGGCCAAGAAAGTCTCTCTTGCAACGACCAAGACTCGAATACATATTACAGTACATACAGTACAGTACTCGCAAATATATCCCAGATAGGAAGAAGTTGCATCTCATGATATACCGAAAAACACTGATCTCCGGAAAGGACACTGCACGCACGCATACATAACCGAATTACGGTAGTCGCTCATCTTGTCTCCCCTCGAACGAAATTTAGGTTCTAGAGGAATAAGCTAAGCTCCATTTGCTTCAAGTTTGTTGGGAAAAATTACATGCAAAGAACTTAGGAATGTTACTTGATTACGTTTCAATGCGCATCAGCTTCCTTCGCGAAAGAGCTGAATTTGGAGAGATTCTCAATACATTAGATGAATTTGCGATCAATGTAGTTCGCTGAATCATTTCATACGCAGAGAAAAGCTGAATTTACTCTAATGCCTCTCTAGCGATTGGTTCAATCTTTCGACTAATACACTTTCTTCACAAACCCCCTGAAGCATATCACTAATATCGAAACTACAGCGAATAATTCTCCACCAGCGTTCAAATACTGTACATGCATTCATCTCTGCGGAATTTGACTGCTGAGTGCGAGTTCTGAAATCATGTTAGAAGTGCGCCGATGAAACTGTCGACGGCGGATGTATTCCACAGAAAAAAATACCCCTATGGCGTCAACATAAAAAAGAGAAAACAAAGAAGATCCATCATACAATTCAGTATACTGTGCACAAACCTCTAATAATTTCTTGAAGTAGGGTGAACATGCCGACAGAACCATTTTGTGTGCTTTTGTCGTCTGCCCATCGCAGGCTAGTGTTACGTCGGTAAAACTTTTCTCGTCCCTCAAGTGCTGAAATGAGGAGACCATGTTCGTTTGGAAATCGTTCCAGCGCAGACAAAATTGCTGGTTCGCCGAAGTGGCACCAGGTGCTCCACTCATCCCCGTCGTTCCCATTGGTATCCCGGCAACCATGCCGGGTTGCGCGATGCTCATTCCGGACGAAGAGCAAACACAAGCACACACAAAATGAAACAAAAAATGTGTCTACGCGACTGTTCGCGCTAAATTCACATTCAAAGAACAATCCCGAGGTTATTTCTCAAAGGACAATCTGGAGAATAAAACCATGGTATCAACAGATTGCTGATTCTGGGGAAGTGACCAACCATTGCCGGAAACAATAGCGAATATTCAAAAGCGAAGAAAAAAGGTAAGATTCGAATCAACTGAACTGGGCAGCGCTTCCCTGCTCAAACATTCTGAAGTTTTCTTTGCACAGCCTGCGACAAAATGAGCGCGTATCACAATAAATTCGGACCTCTTCCTCGGAGTCTTCAGTTTAGATGAACAGAAAATTGCTGAACACGATTTAAAAGTTGTCTCGGAGGAACACATTGACAGCGGATCACAAAGTTCAGTCATAGCTTGTGACAGTCGCAGCAATGCAATCGTAGCAGAGAAACACACACACTTCTTTCCAACCCAGCATTTCGTGGCAGGTGGTAAAGTTCATCAAGAAGTTTCCACCGCTTCGTCGCCACTTGGAACGATTTGCGTACTTGCAGGAAGGGTAATTCTAGAAAACAAGAATTATATGCACAATCCTTTCAATGACACATTATGAAGAGCCAAATTCAACACTTGTAACTCTGTATTGAGCTTGGTCGAGTTCCAGTTTCAGGTGATAGCACTTTAATTACTCACACCACTGACTTGAAAAATTTGACGAACGTACATGATATGTAATTTTAATATGTATCACTCGTTTTCCAATCCGCTGAATCCATGAGGTCAAACATCAGCAGAGGATAGACCGTGAAATTCCCTATTGCAACCACAGAAACTCGAGTACATATCGACAATCATAATCGAGAAACCAATGGGTTGCCTCCATTAGAGACGAAAAAAACAGGCCACTCAATTTACCAGCCAACTGATTAAGAACTTTCTTATACAGCCTTCGACGATTTCTTTTGCAGAACAAAAGACTGTAAGAAAGACCCAAAAGTAATACCTCTTTGTATTCTTTTGAAAGAAGAAGTATTGTTCCATCGGCCCAGAAACTTCAAGTCTGTCTGCCAATTTCATCAACGGTTCCACGTCTTCGATAGGAATTTCGGGGTTACATCCAAATATGAAGTCCAGCATAAAATTGAAATGACGCGGATTCACATTCCGAAGCACAATAACGGGGTGATCATTTCCATCGTATTGCTGCAGAAAAAAATTCATCAAACATAATCTGTTAGGCTTCCCAGAAAATCCCGGTAAACAAATCACAGAAATGATGATCGGCTCGAAAATATCGAAGCGATTAGGGCTCAAAATATTCAGCAAATTTTGCTTGTCGAAAAACCACGGACCAAAAGATATTAAAACCCAAATCTGAGACGATGTACAGACCAGCGAAAAAAATGCCACATCGCGCATCCAATTACGTAGTGCAATTTCATCAAGGAATCATTTCCAAGAACCTCAAAATCTTTTTTTTTTTAAATACAGTACTTACTTCAAGAAGTGCTCGAAAGTAAGCAGATGCCGAAACGAGCACGAGGCGATGCGTAGCAATACACTTGCCTTCGCACACGAATGAAACATCGGCTCTTCGGTTATCCCTTCGCAAGGCAGCCAATCCAGAAGCCGACATCACAAATAACAAGAAATCTTCGCTAAATCTATATTCTCATGAATCCACAATGGATTCCCGGAAGAGGTAAGCGCGACAGGTACTTTCATTAAGCAAAACCTGCGAATCGAAGAGCAAGTAATTCAATCAATTGGATTCAACATTTTCGAACAAACACACAGGAAAAAATAATAAATCAATGCATCAAGTCCATCACGATCGCCCCGATTTTCATTTATTCCATTTCCGCTCCCCCGGTCGCTTATAGCATGAAAGAATTTCAAAGAGTAGTGCGTCCGCTGTTAACTGCCGTTTGAAGCCATCTCCCAACTTGAAAGAATTTCTCAGATGAAGTAAAACCTTCAGTCGAGCATCCGTAACCAAGCCTTCACCAGAACGCTGAGGAATAAACAAAGCCGACACATGAATTCTGAACAGTGCGAGTTCCCTTCGAGAAAAGCTCACCGACGCAGAACAAAATCCTTGAAAAGAGCCAAGACGGGATTCCAGAGGAAGGCGGAATTTCCTTAGTATTTTTCTTCCACCAAGCCATGCTTGAAGAAATACATAACGGGGAATTCTTCACCCTCGATTTCCTTGTAGTCCAAGATGCCGAGGCCAGCATCGGTATCCATGGACTCGCCGGTGTAGAACTTCAGATCCGAGAAATTCTTCAGCAGGAGGAAGCACTTGAAGACTTACAAACAGAACTTCTGTAGGTGAACAAGTCCTAAGCAAAGAACGTTGAAGCGGTGGTTAGATGGTTTGCTTGTACTGCTCGCTTTGCATAGTCGACATCTTTGATGACATCAGCGATATTATCAGATAAGATAGTGAAGCACGCATCGGGTGAGAAGAGAAGTTAACGAAAAATATCAGGGCAAGAGACTAAAGAACTGAAACTATTCTTAGGACAGTAGTCTCACTTCCACCTAATGAGGTCCTAAATTCGTTAATTTTCGCTCACTGCTTTCAGGAATATTTACAAGCAATCGTCGGGATACTATTCGATATGATCAAGCGCCACAAATCCCCTGGCAAATCTTACGATTTTCTTCCGAATACAGTACCATCTAAAATCAAAAGATACATCTGAAAATTTTCGAAAATTTTATTCAACAATCATTTTTTTGCTCTTGTTCTGCAGACTTTAATGCATACCTGTAGGATCATCCGCCCGACATAGCAGAGAAAGGACAAAACATTTCAACGAACATGAAAAGATAAGGGGTCCATGAAAAGATACGGAGTGAAGCGCATGGAATACGAAAGAATCGGTTCTCCTTCGTGAACTTCTGAATGTTTGTCTTGAAGACATCCACTTGTTCAGGATTCGTTTCTTGCAACTTCGCCACCAATCTACCAAACGAACATGACGAGCGAAACGTATCAGCTGTAGAAACTACTAATCAGCGTTATTATCAGATAAGATAGTGAAGCACGCATCGGGTGAGAAGAGAAGTTAGCGAAAAATATCAGGGCAAGAGACTAAAGAACTGGAACTATTCTTAGCACAGTAGTCTCACTTCCACCTTATGAGGTCCTAAATTCGTTAATTTTCGCTCACTGCTTTCAGGAATATTTACAAGCAATCGTCGGGATACTATTCGATATGATCTAGCGCCACAAATCCCCTGGCAAATCTTACGATTTTCTTCCGAATACAGTACCATCTAAAATCAAAAGATACATCTGAAAATTTTGCGAAAATTTTATTCAACAATCATTTTTTTGCTCTTGTTCTGCAGACTTCAATGCATACCTGTAGGATCATCCGCCCGACATAGCAGAGAAAGGACAAAACATTTCAACGAACATGAAAAGATAAGGGGTCCATGAAAAGATACGGAGTGAAGCGCATGGAATACGAAAGAATCGGTCCTCACGAATTATAACCCAAGCTCGAGTTGAATCTCTGCTCGGGGGACCACGGAACAGCTGACGAATATTACCTCTTCATGTAATCCTTGAGATATCCCGTGAAGACCTTCTTATCCTGGAAAGCAAAGTTCTCCTCCAGACGTTGATTCAAAACGATGTCGATCCCAGATTGAACACCTTCGTCGGTTCCCTCGTCAGCTTCTTCAGCAGATGGATTCGAGCCTGCTAGTATGACCTCGCCTTCCCGCCGAGAAATGTGCTGAAACACGTCCAAAAGTAAAATATTGACCAAAGCCACCTATCCACTCCTCTCTAGAGTAGTCGCGCATACAAACTTTTGTAGTAACGTGAGAGTGTGTACTAGAAAAAACGAAATGGACTTCGCATGAACCTGGCTCAATTCCAACCCTTTAAAAACTCGGAATGCACTATAAATGCTCAACCGCACTTCTCGAATTTTAATATCAGACACGCGGCCCATCAATCTCGACACTGATCGAACAAAACCTCCAGTAACCCTAACTTGAAACGTCTGAAGCCTGAAGAAAATCACGGACTCCTGACTTGTTAGATTAAAACGGAGAGGAACCAAATCACTCGAAGAGGCGAAGAAAGAATGGACTGAATCGTCAAAAATGATCAGCTTCACATTGATGACGTTGCTTACCTTGCCGTAAACTTCATACACGACGTCGTCAACGATTTTGATCTTGTATGAATCGGTGAACATTTCATCATTACTGAAAATGTCCTTGAAGACCTTCATGATTAAAATTCAGATAGGGCTACGGAGGCGAAAGGATTCACTAGCGTCTCAACAGTGGAGCGCGGATGGAATTTAGAAAATCTGTGAATATAAAAACATTCATCGGTAATTCCACAAGTGAAGCATAACTTTGCGCAGTAACGAAGCATTCAAGACCAGCACAATACGGGTGGAGCGGTTTACTGTGTTAGGATTCCATTCACAATCGCTCGGTGAACTGAACTCCATATTCAACAATACAGCACAGCATTGTATCTTCATATCAAATATGGCACCGAATTCAATGATCTCACGGAAACTGCCTATCTAACCGCTCCGCACCCGACAGCACCGATCAAGTAAGAATTAAAACAGGATTCAAGCTTTACTGTTTCACAGGGAAGCACAAGTCAAAAACCACACGAACAAGTATGATTCGTCACCTGACCTACAAAAAAGCTGATGATCCAAAAACCATCTTTTTCGCCCATGATCCTCCCCCGACTGATCTAGAACTACTACCGTTAATTGCCGTCTCCACGACTGAAATAAATACCGGGCACAAAATCCACGCAAACCGGAAAACGAAAAATTCGCTTCGCCTGAATAGCCTTCAACCAAGTGCAAATTGGAAACAGCAGAATAATTAGCCTTCTAGATAGCTACGCAGGTGCAATAGAAATTTTGATTTCCCCACGTCGAATACTGTACTACGTCACTTCCATAAACGACGGATTAAGGTGTATAACGGTACGTTGAACTTCCCAAGTTCCCGAATTGAAGGACTAACATAACGTACGCACAAAAACCTAAAACATAATTCCAGTTGACTTTGATTTTGTAAGTTTCAGTCGATTTCAGCCAGTTCGATAAAAGGTTCTGCCTTGTCAATAAGCAAACCGTAATTTGGGATTGTAGCCCAGCTTGTCCAAAGTCGGAGTGCACGCAAAATTTATCATCGGCGGAGGACCACACATCAATACCAAATTATCTTCCGACGGTGGATACAAATGGTCCCTGATCATGTCAGCACTCACAAATCCAGAGCCGTATTTCCAGCCTGAGAACAGTAAATTAAAACCAGTCATTACATTGGAATTCAATGAATTTTGAATTATACGAGAGATATGCTTGTCGATAAAACACAACCATGACATTAACAAGTAAAATATCCGCTGGATGTCGGATAATAGATGAATCGAACTTGCCAAGTAGATATGCGAGACGCTACTCACCTTCAACAGGTCGATCGACCGTATACCAGAGCTTAAAGCGATCCGGATGTTCACTCTGCAATTGCTCCAATTCCGGTCTTAGAAGAATGTCATCTTCCGTCTGGTTAGCGAACAATAGCGCCACCTGCGTTCGATCATTGAGATCTCTCGAAACGGCCCTGATGAGCTGTAACATCGGGGTGATTCCAGTTCCACCTGTTATAAGAAAAACGGATGCGTCAGGATTCTGTTGCAAGAAGCTAACGGGGGTAACCAGTCCCGGGTGCATCAAAAACAAGTTTACCGCATTGGTACTTCCCTGTTATCTCAGTACCTCATTCCTAGACAAATCTTTTATGACAAGTTCATAATCATGACAACTTCCCAGAAACTAAATTTTATTTTTCCGCATTCTGCTGAAACTGATTTTGGGAGGCGGTTATGTAAAGTTAGGTTAGGTCAGGTTATGTTAGTTAAAAGATATTTGTAATCAGTTTCCAAAATCAGTTTCAGCAGAAACCCAAAGAAAGCAGAAACTGATTATGGTAGGCGGTTAGGTGAAGTTAGGTTAGGTTACATTGGTCAGAGGGAAGGTACAGAGATAACAGGAAAGTACCATCGCATCTGAAAAACTTCTATACACAATTTCGACGGATTTGGAGTCACAATTACCGCTTGCACGAACTGGAAGAACATCCAACCTTTCCTTAATCCAGTATTTCCTGAAATTTTTCAAATAAAGTAACTTGAATATTTGATTAATTTTATTCAGATTGAGACGGTTAACTCGCTGATTAAATAGGGAATCTCTCTGATCCCAAACTTGACAAACTTAATTCACTAAGTTTGACTAAGAAATTAAATTCATCATGAATACAGCACTGAACACACGCGAAGGCTCACGTACACCGATATGAATCGAATATCATTTGCTCACCCGCTATCATGCTAACTTTCTTGACCTTCACAACACTCGAAGCAGATTTCTTGTCGGGTCTGATGGCGAATTCTCCGCTGCCATTATACTCCAGAAGCCCAGACGGCCCGCGCACATCAATGGTCTCACCCATACGCAGGTTGTCAAGAAACTGGCTCATCTTACCACCGTCAGGAAACTTCGGATGCACATTCTTCAGATAGATTTTAACTACCAAATCCATGAACCCATGGTCCTCATCGCTCGACACTGGTGTGTACGGGCGGATTACCAGGTTCCCATCAATTTTTGCGGTCAAGTAAATGTGCTGACCGATCGGCAACCCTGCGTTCAATGAAATATTCCGAGCATTAGAAAACCTCAGCGAACCCCGAAGGCCGGAGTCAACGCATCAAGACGAATAAAAACTTGTGGATTGAGCTGTATCGCGTAAGCTCGGCCCTAAAACTCACCCAAAATATGCTCCGAGGATGGAAGCGCAAACCGGAAACGACGAGTGTCATGACTGACTTGTTCTTTATCTATCAAACGAAGGGCGTATTTCACATTCGGGTCTTCGAGAGTCTTCGGTGGACCTTGTTTTCGGCGCACCAAATACAACCGGGCCACTACCGCAGTGACGACTACAACCCCAACTCCGACGATCACCGGAATAATCTGGAAGAAAAAACCCCCGCAGTCTTAAAATCACTTCAGATACATTCCTCGATTCGGGAAGGTCAGGAAGGAAAAGAACAAACGAACGCGTGAGAAAACGTTCCCATCAACACTTCAGTGTTGTTCTGTCTTAGTCAAAGTGAATTTTGAACACGAAGACGATCTTCTTTGCCTTCTTTTTAGGACCTAATGAACGAGTTTTTGAGTCCACTACTATTTATTGAGCATGTTGACTGATATTAAGACTACTTCATCATGAATCAGCAGACAACGCATCATCAACCAACCACTGATTGAAATCTCGAAGTTCTAGACTCCGTTCAAGCGGTTAAATCCTCATCTAAAGGCAAGCAAGAATTTGAGCAGCCTACCTGTGCGCTGAACCGCAACATAACACCCCGAAGAAGCACAGGAGAGTTAAAAAGAAAGCTTAACGTAGCCCAAGAACCGGAAGCACTCCCTGAAACGTCTTGACTCACTCACCTGATCCACCATGTGAACGGTAAAATGATACAGCAACACGTTTCTAGAAATACAGAGGAAAGCTGATCACGTAAAAATTAGCAGGAACAACCATTCACTTCATTTGAACAGCTTCTGCCACCACTACGAGAACATATCGGTCAATGCAGAAGCTGTTTCCATCTAGGAACGCGCTGAGCGAGTTCTCCGAGGTGACCCACCAAAGGTGTGCAATGCGAGGTGGCAGTGGTTTACCTCAGCAATACTATTCCTTACGGCTTCCACGTTAAAAATTTTAAGATCTAATTCAACATGACATAACCTCAAGTGATCAGGCAAGAAAAGGTGTCCTCATGAAGTGAACTAAAATACAGCAACCCAAATTCAGAGGTGGTCGGTTGGGGATTCCAGATCTTAAGTTTTCGTTTGATTTCAGTTGCAGGTGTTCAAAATACATCGTGCTATAAAATGGATTGAGCCACACTAATGGTGGTGAACTTCATTAAAATTAGCGTCAATTCGAGTCGATTTCTAAAAGCAAATAGCAAAATACTAGAAGAGGGTGCACTTCCATTCTGTCCCTAGCTCCGCTCTACAATAGTTACATTTTAAAAACCATGCTCCAGCAGTCAACTGTTCTCATCAGTTCAAGAAATCGATCTAGGAACTCGAAAATTTCAATCGCCACATTAGACGCATGGTTTCTTACACGATCTTCGTCCCGCTATCAATCGATCTTCGTCCCGCTAACAACAGAGCCTCTTAGGTCCTACGCATGTACTCGCAAATCTCAGTTCAGAAGATCGTTTTTGTAATTTTTCGCGCAAGGTCGTCCTTCGGATACCTCAGAAGTTATCGGCCACCATTGCAGCTTTCTCACAACCGATAAAGCACCGATCGAAATGCAAATTCACAATGACAACGGATATGGTACGATCTCGAATTCAGTCAACCACATGCCACGCATCACAGCAAGTCCTCTTCAGCTAGCCAACAAACTCAGGCTCACCCTCTGACAACCATTAACTCGGAACACCGCCAACCGTATCTCAATGAACTATTTTTCAACGCCCTCGCATATTGCAATTCATGGTAATATGAAGGTGGGAAAGCCGAACCCGAAAAGGTGCCACCCTTCGTTCAGTGAGGTTTTTCTGGCAATTTGGGGGTGCTAGTTTAGCACAAATTGTATATACTGTGCACTTGTACAGAATATTAGAGCATTAATTACAGATTAACAAAGTTTTGAAGAATTTGTAAGTTCAACTTCTAAATACTGTGGACGGAGAACAAACTTCGATTTAAAAAAAAATTGTAGAAACATTTTCGTTGTAGAAAACCCCTAAATGCCTATAAGATGGCTTGAGGACCAGAAATTCTACCTTGCTGCACAGAGAACATCATCCAAGACGAGATTGTTGTACAGCGAGTAAACGTTTGATAAAATAAGAAATACAGTGTATGTATATACTGTGCACTTGTACAGAATATTAGAGCATTAATTATAGATTAACAAAGTTTTCAAGAATGTGTAAGTCCAACTTCTAAATACTGTGGACGGAGAACAAACTTCGTTTGACAAAAATTTGTAGAAACATTTTTGTTGTAGAAAACCCCTATATGCCTATAAGATGGCTTGAGAACCAGAAATTCTATCTTGCTGCACGTAGAGGACATCTCTACAGATGGATTGTTGTACAGCGAGTCCACGTTTAATAAAATAAGATATAAAAAAAATCGAATACTATCCAGCAGAAAACAATTCGTATAAAATTTACGAATCATATAAATAATAGGTTGATCAACTTGTACGCGAACTAAGGTAAGTCTATTCTTACAAATTTTCCTTATTTGATAAATCTTCAATGAAAGCATAAATGAGAAACTCATCGTACATAATACGATATTCCAGTTTTTATCCCCGAATTGGGCAACAATAGATGAAAGTGTAAATCATGAACTATTAATTCAAGGCTAGTGAAGTTCGAATATTCAATAGCATTTTGACCTCAGGAACGTTTTTCATAGGCGAGTTTAATTCGAATAAATGCGGGGCATTGCTTCCCTGATATTCTTCGGTATGACACATCCAACAAAAAATGCTAGTGAAGTTCGAATATTCAATAGCATTTTGACCTCAGGAACGTTTTTCATAGGCGAGTTTAATTCGAATAAATGCGGGGCATTGCTTCCCTGATATTCTTCGGTACGACACATCCAACAAAAAAAAGAACACAAAGCAAATTCTGAATACACATTTATTACATCGAAAATTCAGACATGAACGGAATGACTAAATCTCTCGTAAAAAACACAATCGTCCACAGATCAAGAGAGCTTTGCAAAACCCGTCATTCAAATCCCAGTAAAATTGTAAAAATTACTTCAATACCAGTATAGAGCAAACGGCAAGAAATTGTTTAATGCATCTGCTCCAGAAAATTCATACAACAGCTTCACACAGGGCCAGAGATGAAAATATCTAAAGGAGCCTAATTGCGACAGACTCAAAATGTACAAAACGTAAGCCTCTGCATCATTTCGATTTCCCTTTCTTCCGAACAACGGGTCCGTCGGAGTAGAAGTAGGTTAAGCCTATTTTATCCAACTTCTTGTGGAATAGTTTTACCATTCGTTCAGCGCATCTGCAAAAACAATAGGTAAAAAAAAATTAGGATTTTTCTCCAACAAAAACAGCTTCTCCCTCACTTGTACACAGACTCCGTCTCTTCGTTGTAATCTTTACAATTTTCGAAGATCAACTGCACATCGTTCAAAAATTCTTCGTTTGTCTTGTACCGATTATTGATGAGTTTCCCTTTCAAGGTGCCAAAATCCATGGGATTTTTTATTTTGTCCGCATAATCGGGTGCCTGAAAATAAAAGAAGACAAAAACAACATCAAATACTGTACCGTATAGAGAATGATGCTATTTCTCAAGAAAACAAGGTTCATCCGAGAAGCCGCATTTAAACTTCCACGGCACTAGAAATTAGATCACTGTCAAAATTCACTAAATGAAAATGAAGTTACAGTACAGCACTACTATGTCTCAGAAGCACAACAATTAAAATATTCACCACTGGAAACATAGTATACCACTGCTATTTCTTTCGCTCATCATTATGACGAGGAAAATCAAGAATAAAAAACCAACAGGCTTTTTAAATAAATTGCGAATAAGTATTTAAGTTAAGGAAAATTTAGCGAACGTCAGAGGACGAATAATGCCACCAGCATTTCAAATACTTCTGCTTCAGAGTAAATAACTAAATAAATGTTTAAGAATAAATTAGAAAATACTGTAAATGAACGAATGCGGATGGAGGGATATGAAGGAGTATTACATCTTTCTTAGTAACCGGTCGCAGGAACGGCCAAGAGTCTTCTGCTTGAACAAGTTCTTGAAGCAGATTCGACATCATCGCAACGTCGAGATCTACGTCTTCTCGCAATTTGTGATCCGATCTTCTGGTCGCAGTTCCGGACGAGGAACGACGAGCTGTAAGCATTCACGATAAATAATTTTGAAGAATTTTTATGAATTAGTTCGTTTGCGCACCAGGGGCAAAATCGTCTTCGTCTTCATCGAATTCAGAATCGGACGATTGATGGACGTTCGCGCGTTTCGGCCTAGTCACACGTTTCGGAGATGGTTCCGGAGTAGATGAACTACTACGGGACCGTTTTACACCCCGTCGAGAGTCTCGTTTCGCCATTTCGAAGGACTTATCTGCAGATTTTCCACCTAGAATTATAAATTGTACGTTCAACGAAATTACTGAACAACTGACACTTCTTTTTTTATACGAAAGAGTACCGATGGATATTTTCGCCGATTTCGTACATTTAGCGCATGTCCATTTGCCTTGCTGGCCCTTCTTTACCGGAGGATCGGCGCATTTTTGGTGAACTTGAACATCACATTTCTTACCGGAGCAAGCGATCAGTTTTCCCTCATCTCCACAAACTTCACACGTATCATTCCTGCAAAAGATTGACCAACTCCATTTTCTGAATCCAGATGATGAATAATCAAAGATATTAAAAGACGCGTTAAAAGAAATAAAATAAACTATGAATGGAAATCCCTAAATAGTAAAATACACTTACTCCTCGTCCGATTCAACGTCTTCCTCAGAATCTATCCTTTCATCCTCTTCTGCTACAACCGCTTCTTCACCTTCGTCCTCGTCGTCATCCTTGCTAGTTTCCGCTTCAGCTTCTACTGTCATTTCTTCATTTTCCTCCTCTTCATCTTCTTCGGACTGTTCGATTTCCGAATCGGAAGTTTCAGAAAACGCACGACGTCTTGGAGGACGTCTGGCTTGGGGAGCCTCTGGTTGCACCGGTTTGCATAGAGGGCAAAACCAATCCCCTCTCGGAATTGACTGGAAGTGGAATGACATAAAAATACAAGGGTTGGAAATCTCGCATAGCTGGTCATGGAATACATTCAAGCTGAATCGTTTTTTAATCCAACAAAGCGTACGTGATTCATAAACGTGGAACGCTTGTTATACACATTTCAAATAATCTACATCAATATTCTAAACCCAGTTCATACCCGCGGAACAGCCTAATATGATAATTGTTTAAAAACCGCTTGATGGCGAACATTTCTTTAAAAAAAAATTTTTCTGTGAGTCATGTAACAGCTACACGATTTCCCGACATTATCTGCCAGATCAGCATAAAAATATTCCTATCCGGCGTAGTCGACGGATTTAAGAACGCTAAAATACTCCTCTACGTCTACGACAATCTATATTCGTATAAAACTTTTAAAATGTTACCTTCAACTTTGGCTTCAAGCATGTCGTATGATAGCCGATATTGCAACCATCACACAACAAAAGCAGTTGTTCGTCTCCCTTCCTTCGACAGACTTTGCATCTCGCGTTCAAAGTTGAACGAGACCACATGATGCTTGTAGCTGCAAAATAGAGATGTGTTCATGCAAAATCGATTTCAGATAAAACTGATGCCGGCTAAATGGATCCCGAATACACTCGAGAATGATGATCAGTAGAATAATTAATAGGAAAATTATATAAAAAAAATGACTTCAACTTACAAAGTACTTCTAGATGTAAGAACAGTTGTGGCACTGAAACGACATTTTTCAAAGATAATTCCCAACGCTGCAATAGGGTCAATTTCGTTTCAGTCTTCTTATCTTCGTCGCCCGTCTCTTCTTCGTCCTCGTGATTTTCCGCTTCATTTCCAGCTTTTTTGCTCTTTGCAGCGGCAGATTCGCCCAAAGGCGGTTGCATGTATTTCGGTTCAACACTCTGCTCAAGTTGCAAAAGAGCGGCTGCAAGCTGACGGGTTTTGAGACGCCGTTCCTTTTGTTCAACTTCTTCTGGGTTCAAGGATTCTTCCTTGCCCGGTTTTCTCGGAGTAGCTGCGACCTGATGAAAAATTTAAATACTGCACTGTATTCCGTACTCCTTTTCGTTTTGCCAAGAGAACATTGGTACTTTAATATTTTATTAGAAACAAAACCTGATTCGACGTATTCACGAACGACCAGGGACTAGAACAGCAGCTTTTCAAGAGAGAAGTGCACAGAGGAAACAAACCTAACTTAAGATACAGCAACATAAACCCGTACAGGTAGAGTTGCTCCACAACGATTTCGTCCACAAGAATTTTCCCTGTATAAAGCATTTATTAGGTCCCGCAGTTATTCTCTGCAATGAAGTTTTATCTTGGTCCTCTGAATTTCGTTGCCGAGAGTTCACACTTACATCATCAACTGTCAACACATGCCTAACCTATGCTTCTGCGACTCGCTGTTTCGATTAGTATTTTAGTCGTGTTACTACTGTTTACCACTTTTAAATTTCGACTACGTGACCTTTCTGTCTCCATATTTGATCAAGCATGCATTTGTTATCGCAAAGTAAAATTTCAGTAAACCGCAAAGAAGTAAAATAAGGTTCAGAGACATACAGCATGGTAAGAATATAATTCTCACCTCGGTCTCCTTAAACTGTCCTCCAGCCCAGATCAACTTCGCGCATTGCTGATCGTAATTTCCAGACATGAGTGCATCTCGCCAGGCATCGCGCTCACCAACTTTCAAGAGCCCGAGATTTCCCAAATGTACTTTCTCCTCCACTTCCAAAAGCTTGTCGCGGAACGTAAGTTCCATCATGTACTCCGAGGAAGTTCCGAATGGGTGCGTGGCATAACTAAGGAAAACACCAGTGGAGCCTTTCCTACGTTCCGATTTCTGTCGCTGTTCAATTCTAGCGGACTGTCCAGGCTTATCCGCAGTGATATCGAGAAGATGCAACGGAAACCGATCCAGTCGAGCCATGTGTCTCTTTTTCTCCGCCTGATACGATAAGGGCAGGCTCAGTATCATTAGAAAATCACAGAACAATTCAAATAAAAAACACATATTCCATAGGTAGACTACCGCAACTGGACAAATTCGAAACCAATACTCACAATCAAAACTTCTTTCAATTCCTTCTCACGAAGACCTCGAGGATTTAATCCTTCAATTAAAGCTTCAACTTCTTCCGGAGTTGAATAGAAGGACCATCGAGTTCTCTCAATTGTGGACGAATGCACCGGACAATCTGCTTCCCGAGATTTCCCCAAGCACATGCCGAACACACGACTTTTCTCCAATGCAGCGTGGACATCGACTAAATTTCGAGACGAAGGGAGAATCAATGAAATTCGAAGTATTTATTCAAAAAAGTAATCCGAACTCGTGGCACGTTCGGCGTTTTTACGAAAACATTACTTTAAAAATATGCCAGAGCACAATTCTCAGTGAACTCTCGCAAAATGAGCAGTTCTGTAAGGAATAAATCATCACCAAAACAGTCCTCTTCATTATTATTTTTTGAATATAATCCGAATCTTGGACTTCTGCATTTGAACATTAGAGATTGAGGTACAATATTTCGTATTAAGTTAAGGACACAAACACTTCAGAGATACAGTATTGTAAATCTTTCATAGACGTGATTTGAATATAGTAAATATAAATAAATTGAAAAATTGCTGGCAATCCTCGCTTATTGAGAAAAAAACCGAAAAGCTGAGATTCTAACTGAAAAAAAGGGACAAAATATTTCCCCGACTAATCAGAACAAAAGCACTTCAATGAAGAAGATACATCTACATCTCCTCAAGGAAGTTTTGAAATTTTGCAAGACCAGCTTAAAGCTTTTTTCTATGGTTAAATATAACGGGACGTTTCAATTGGACGGGTCATTTTATTGCTTCCACCTTGAATACTTTTTATCTAACACACGCAAGAAGATACTCACGAAGCTTCGATTCGGCTTCAGCGCACGCTTCGAGCTTAACAACAGCCTTTGCATACGCGGAGTTGTTGCTTTGACCTAACACATCACCGGCAGAATTCGGTTTCCTCACGATATTTCTTTCTCGCTCCAAGTCTTCGTCGTTTTCTTTATCACTTCCAGTCTCAGAAATTCTTCCGTTGACTTCAGAAGCCGCCTTGTGTAAGGTTAAAAATTTTCGAATATCTTCTCGCTTTTCTTTGACGCCGGGCTCCGGAAGTCCTTTGATCGGAAAAGGAGTTGGCTGGCAAATGAAAAATTTAAACAATACAGTATACAGTATCATGACTTTTTACTTGAGAATAATTATGGTATCATGTTTTGAGTCTAATAAATTGTGCCAGGAATGTTTCCAGCCATCAACGGCTGATTGAAGTTCTAGAACTGCGCACGATATATTTTCATCGACTAATCCGTAGTCGAGTCAAGAATTCTTTTTTCGAACGAGGAAAGCACCAATAAGAAGTTTTTACTCAGTCATATACAGTTCTGTATTGTATTATCTTGAATTTTTCTATTTCGTCTACCACCATGACCATTTTCAGCAAGGATAAATGTCACTTTCAACCATAACGGCACTGTGATTTAAATAAGGATAAATTGGGCAATGATAGAAATGTCAACTCAATCCACTTCCATCATGCTTTACACGTGGCCATCAAATCTTTTCGACAAACTGATACTGTAAACGATTTCCACGTCAGAATGTTCCACTGAAGATCTGGAATGCACCAACGCTTGGTACTGATTCACAACAAACACAATTATCATTCCGAACTGAACTAACATCCAACATAGAGACAGGAATTCATACCGCCGACGGACTTATTCTTTAAATAAATAAAACATCCTTGAACGTACCTTATTCTGGCAAGGACCAATCAATTCTCCGTGATCTTCCACGAAGATTCCTGGTACGGAATTGAACGTCCAGAAATTTCGATGAGCTCTATCACGACCCATCGGAAGCAACGCATACTGCGACTGGAGAACCGTTAGAGCAGCTATGAGATCTTTTTCCCGTCGCTCTGAATTTTCCTTTTTCCTGGATTCTTCCGTTTGTCTTCTAGTTTCGAGACGCCGCGGATTTTCCTCCTCCTCTTCGTCCATTTTGGTTTGACATACGGGTTTCCCTTCTTTTTTGGCTTCCTTTTTCTCTTTGATCCTATTTCATGAGTATCAGAAAAATAAACCTTGAAGACACGCGCTTCGGAAAATTCAGCAGCCTCACGGCGATCACCATTACAAACACGACGTCTCCTTTCTTATTCACAAAATTCAACTCATGATAGAACGGAGCATCGGAATAAGGCAAGAAAACAACAGGAAACGTCTAAGGGTAATAAGACAAATTAAACAGTACCTTTGCGCGGCTTCCTCTTTGGCTTTCTTCTTATCATCCATGCGGATTTTGTAGAGCTCTCGACGCTTTGAGATGATACTATCGGACGTTTCATCAATCGCATCGCGGAAGCCCACATAGGTCATTATTTGGCTTATCAAACACGAGATTACTGAAAGCTTTTCTTCCGGACTTAATTGGTAAACATGAGATGAGGAGAGCTTCTGGAGAATGTCTCCATGCTCTAGACGGAACTGGATACCCGGGTCGTCCTAATGCGAGGGGAAAAAAAAATAATTGCAACAGTCATTCTACGATGGAAAAAGGGACGCGGGTTCAACCTTGGAAGAATATCCTCCACGCTGCTGATATCGCCAAGCTTTGCTCTTCTCCGAACACTGAGCTCCAGATGCTAATAAATGCAGTCTCAAGACTTCCGAAATACTGCAACAATCTCGAGTAAGATCTTCCAGAGTGACACCCAAATACTGCTTGCACCAGGACGCAGAAACGGTTGCTAATTCAACAGCTTTTGCCATGGGATTCTCCACGTCATCCACCACAAGCAATTCTCGAAGTGAAGCGTCTGCTTTCAAGTGCCCAGAACCCATTTCGGAGTCCTCGTCATCCTGAGATTGATGAAAATTTTATCGGTTCAAGATCAATCAGTGTTGTGATCAAGAAACATTACTCGACTCGAGCAGCACAAACCGAAATTTTGCATTCTACAGTCACGTTTATTTCGTGGTTTCGTACCTGCAGTTGAAATATAAGCTCAAGAAGAGCTATCAGAAGTTCGCTTAGCCCTGCGCGCATATCCTCTTCAGCCAGTGCATCCTCGACTTTTTCAAACGTCAGGCCACTAGGGAACCATCTCCCGAAGTTCAGGGTTTTGTTGAAAACGTTGAAGAATTCAAGAATTTCCATAACGCCCCCGAAAAGCTTGTTCGGCAACCTAGAAATAACGGGTTTACTAACCGGAAGATCCTAAAAACGGGAAAATAACAAAACATTATAACGAAGTTTTTGCCACCAAAAAAACATTCCCTATTTCGCTCCTCACCTTCAAATCTTCCAACTCCAAGTCCTCTTTTGGTTTGTGCCAGTCGCGCAAGAGCTCTGCATAAAGCCGTTTTTCTTCTTTCTTTCTTAGCTTTTCTTCTTCCTTCCGCTTTTTTTCAGCTTCCAAACGCTCTTCGGCCTCCCTTTCCAAACGCTTCCGTTTCTGCTCCGCCCTGAGAGGTAATCAAACGAAACACAATTACTTACTACATTGCGAATATGATTCCTGATCATCGGTAAAATTAGGGTCTACGGCAAAATTTTACTCACGTTTCTTTCTTTGGAGAAGATTTCGGGGATTTCTTAACTTCCTTGAGCTTGGCTAAAAAAAAAAGAAAGGCTCCGAAATCCATCATGACAACTTAGAAAATAAAACGGAGAACGAACCGATTGCCATGAATTTCCTGATATCTCCGCTTCCTTCGAAGTTGCTCATCAGATTCTTTTTCCCTTCGGCAGATGGACATGCACTCATCAAATCTTCAGCTTGCATTTTTTCAGAGATTCCATGATGAAAAACTGGCATGGGTTGGCAAAAAACATCCACAAAATTTCCGTCTCTAACACCATGCTTGGCCAAGGCAGCTTCCTTCAGGACGAGATTTTTTTCGCTTGTGGACGTAGTCACGAGCTTTACGTAAAGTTTATTCTTGAATCTCGTGAAGATTCCTCGAGGTCGTCTGATTTTATCCGCATTCAAGATTACATTTTTGGGTGACTTCGATTTCGATTTTCGCTTGGAATTGCCATCATCTTCTGCTTTCTCTTGAACATGGTATTTATACACGTTTGCTGGAGGCCAAGCCTCATGGGAATCACCATCCACATTGCTGTAGAAATGAAACGTCCACCCAGAAAGTTCGTATAAGAAATCGTCGAATATAAATGGCACATTTGACTAACTTGATCAAATTCCTCTTTTTGGAAAGTTCCGCTTCAGTCGGTGATACTACGTTTAAAATTGAGCAGTTGCTCCTGAAATCGTACAGAGCTTGAATTAAATCACAGGTCTTTCAAACCAGAGCATTAAAATCGGAATCATTAACACTCACCACTGACCGTTGACCAGAGCTTCCACTTCTTCACCAACAAAGTATCGATCCTTGACGAAATTATAAATATCCTCCCATAGATCTACAAGCCGCTGGCGCTTCGTTTGAGCAACAGCGAACAGCATCCCACGCTTCAACTGTGGAAAGCATCGAACGAATGTAAACCCAAAAGGCTCATAACAGAAATCCTGATAATCTCGTACCGAAATGGGAATGCTTTTAAGGCACTCCATCGCTTTTCTTTCGGATTCCAGAGCTTCGGGATATGTGAGTTTTGGAGTCATTGTTAGTTCACAAGTCCACAGCAACGACTTGCACTCAACGACGCGCTTGAAGTGCTCACTAGAAATAAATGCACCAGAGCTTAAAAGCGACCCCAGTCAATCAAAAATAATTACACCGAACTCACTCGAAACTTCCAAAAGCCTCTTTCGTCATACTGTTGTAGAACAATTTCCCATCGATTTCAGCCGGATCGGGGGTAAAATCATCTTCAATCTCCGAGTCGCCGCTATCAGAATCAGCAGCTACTTTTTCCGATGCTTCCTTGGATTCCTCCGGATTCGGAAAGGGATTCCGAACAAGCGGCTTACGTCCAAGAAGAGGCATTGTGCCTTCGCACTTCTGTTAATCCAGAAGTATTCAAGAAAATTCACTAATCAACCTGAGCTAGGCAGACATTGCAAGAGGTTTAACGGAATACGAAGCGCCTCGCACAAATAATACGAATACTGTAAAGGTTACAGAAAAATCTATAAATGCGTCAAACCTGAGTCTTGCTATAAGCGGGTGACGCCGTATACGATTCACCTTACGGATGTCTCATGTTCCTAATATACGACTTTTCAACGTCTATCACAAAGAATTTCAACACAATGAGTTCAACACGCACTTCGAATACTATAATTTCGAAGAACCGAGCATCAAAATCCAGGAATTGATCATTAGCGAGGAAACCTCCCAAACGCGTCAACAACCGGCATCGCGCTTCAACTGAAGGCTGCTCAGATCAAATTTAACGAACAAACTGCCAAACCAAAGGAAACAAATCATTCTTCGTTACGTTTAATTCAGTGAGGAAATCGCAACGTGAATTAAATTCATTCAGGAATCGAACGTAACCCCCACAGGACACGGACGCGTCGTTCGCAACATCGAAGCATTCAACGGCGGAGTATGAATGCCATCGAGCAAGGAAGCCACTGGATCAAGATTTGCCCGGGATATTTCCGAGGTTTTATCTACATCCCCCACAAGTCGCTCAACACTCGACGGTTAGAAATTACGAAATTAATTTTATTTGTGGGTCTGCCGAGAAATGCATCCAGTGAGCGCGCCTCCGCGGAGGACAGGATCTAGTCATGAGCGCCTGTAGGGGAAGGCAAATTGAACAACGCTCCTTACCTTGAGCACCTCACATAGATGCATGTAGGTTACGCCATTATGCAGGCTGTAAATGCCGCTGCTGGTCGCCCCGGTCAACCACCTCAAAATGCAGGTACAGACATACTGTACAGAGTACTGTGTGTCCTGTACATATCTATATTAATAACCGCAGATATGACTATAAAACCAAGGCATAACACATATGGTAAAGTATAGCAGTTAAATATTTTTTCAAAACCATGGAATCATACCATGCAACAAATCGAACATCCAGAGCATCTCAAAAACGGTTACTGCTGTTACCTTTCAGAAAGCAGCACGCGGAATAAATTATTGCGAAAATTTACTTAACATGCGGAGATGTCCTATTCCTTATTGTAAAGTTCGGCGGTGGGCTTTTCCTCCATCACATCATTTCCAGGTGAGCACATTTAATTTATTCGGCCATTATTATATCCTTTTCCAAACACATTTTTTTGAGACAAGAATTGACGATCTTCACTGTCTTGGATGAAAAAAAATGCATCAGTACGTGATGCAAATGCTTGCCGTCATTTTTCATGAAATATTGTTATACCGTACAGTATACAGTATAGGAACAAGGAATATTTGCTGGCGTATAGCACAACTCATGTGCATCATTTTAGTGCTGGCGTATCAGGAATGAATCAAGTTGAACATACAGCTAGTACAGTACTGTATATTGAAAAGCCTCAATTTTTTAACTGCAAAATATTCACACTTAATTTTTTTCTCTATCTTTAAATCGCAGAAAAAACATAATGTGGGATATGTATGCTGTCCATGTTTTTCTAAAAATGTATAATCCAATGCCCAATGCCAGAAAAGCAGAATCTATCGTTATGTAACAATAAATCTCATTACAGTATATCAAATTCCGGTAGAACTTACAACAAATTCGGTTTTTAGGTCTACGTCCAATAGCCAGCACAATGTACACAACGTTAATGACAGAATGAGCTACAGCAGTATACTCTATAACGAATTCTTTATCATAAAAAGCCATTATTGTATTCTGTATCCTGATCCCAGAAATAGCTTTGTTGTAATGGGATATTACGATACCCTGTGAATTATTCAAATGCTAGTAGACATTTCTTCTATATTGCTCAACTCCAATGGGAATTCTTCTGAGAAAATTTATCAACAGAAAATGCTGGGCTTGCTGATACTGATTCCGAGAACAAATTATGATTTAGCAAAAATTTTAAAACGAGGAATAGGTGAGATATCCCGCTAATGAGAAATTCCAAAAAACATATCACTCAGCAAGTCGCCTCAGTGCCGCAATAAATAAACGCGACTCTGTCATGCCGGAAGACACGAGTCGAAAGATTGGCAAAAATTCCTTAAAAAAGGTTTTAGGATAGCTTCAGCTATACTGTATACATATACCCTGTATATATATACTGTATATACAGCATCTATGCACATGAATATGTATCGACTTCTATAGTCAACTTCCATTGTACACACAAAATAATCATTAAAAGATTAATAGCAGTTACCTTCCCTTCTTCCTCAATAATGGAGGTCACAGGGAATCCGAATTAGGTGCTCGGGAAATTTCATGTGCACACTATAGCTTGGGCTACACCGCATGTTTATAATCTCCCAGGTAATAACGTAGCTGTGCAATTGATATACAATAATATGTTACATTTAAAAATCAGGGCCAATAGTAAGATAAATATTAATGATTTTTAACATTAGTCCTGCTGAATGCTGATTCGGAAATTGTTTAAGCATCCAGTATAGTATATATTGCAGCAACCATCAGCTAGATTCCAATTGTAAATACTGTAGTGCAGTGTTCCCCAACCTGATGTGGTCTGCGGACCGGCGTCCGGGGAAATTTCTCAAGGCTAATGGATTTTTCACAAGTAGCAATGAAGGACTTTACAGTATCTATATTTTAATTTTTGTCAAAACAATGGCAGTTTAAATAAAAAAAAACATATCTTGGCTTTTTGAGGAATAATACTTCAGACAAATTTTTACCTGATTTAATGAATTATTTTAATTTTGAGTTTGAAAAACTTTTCTTCAAGCCCACTTATCCAGTTTTTTGAAGACATTCTGCTATAGCTGCTTCATTGGATCCTGAATTAATTTTGCAAAAAGCAAAAGCTGTTCAAATACCTGCCATCCAAGCTGTCTTTCAAGCAACACTTTTTCTGAGCATCCAAAATTTTATGAAGATTTGCTGGTCCTCAGAAAATTTATTAAATTCTGCTGGTGTCAGAATTTTTTTGTGGAAATTTGCCAGTCTGCGCAACCAAAAAGGTTGGGGAACACTGCTGTATAGTGTTTAAGAATTGATCAGATATTCGTGTCACATTGCTGCATGGAAAAGATGCTGGCTTTCATCAGGTCTGTCGTAAATTATTTTTTTACCTTGCTAAAATGTATGATTTTTTGCTTGCCTGTAATGTATACAGCATATAGCTCGCCTGAACTAAAAAATCCAGGCTTATTTTGTAGCAAATTACGGTAATACATACCCTATACATGTATTACAGTATACTATACATTTTAAAAACAGGAAACCCCCTTCAAATGGGAAATTCAGCTCAGTTTTCGTATTACGTGCATAATGCGCAAAGCAAAATTTACAATTCAAATAAACTACTGTATCACTAATTATCTTACCGTCCTGACTCCTGAGTGCAGAGTACAGTACTACAGTACATTCGAATTGCCCTGATATTGTACAGCTCATACTGCATGTGTATACTTTATGGAGTTTATGCAGCTACGAGGTGCTTTTAAAGGAAAAATCCTTCGACTTATGTAGATGTCGCTAACAGGCGTGGTCTTCAATTGTTGACCCATCTGTATGCTCGCATGAAGGTGAACCCAAGTGTTGGTCGCATTTCGAAAAGAAAAGCGTCGGTTTTGTCGAATTCACGAGAATGCAAGGACAATTCGCAGTCGACTCCGTCGGTGAATCTTCGTGCTTTCACGATGTGAGAGAGATGTGCGATGTTTGTGAAGTGTGAGACATGGGGTATTTTTAAAATCTGTTAACGTGCGTGTATTTCTGCCAATCGAATGGTCCAATCGGGTTTGCAGTCCATTTTTTGAGGAGTACGAACACGTCCTGTATTGAATATCTTGGCATTAATGTCGGTGGACTCACTACCTCGAATGGGGAGCAAAGGTAATGGATTCTCAGGCTCCCTCCAACTAGGGTTGCTTCCGAACTCAATACAATATTCACCCCTTATTATGTTGAAGGTTTTCGTACTCAGCAAATCTTGCAAGGTGGGTACAGTTGTGTTGTGCTTCTGCCTCCAATATGTACGCTGAGAATCGGACAGATGTCTTTGTTTTCGAGGTGAAGTCGATGAATCTGGTCCGTTTTTTTTTTTTTTCGTGGTGATCAGTTTATTTTTGAAGTTCTGAGGGAAGATACGGGTATTTGCATTTGCAATGATCGTCTTGAATTGTGAGATGCTGGACAAGATTAAATTAATCATAATCTGTTGTTGTTTTTCCAATGTGCATCGAGACGTGATCGGCTTGCTCCTGGCAATGATCCGCCGATTTGGAAGAAGACATCACTATAGTGACTGACTTTTGGTTTTTGACCATCAGATTTAACATGGAGGAATACGACGTTCGTTTAACAAATCATTCTGAGGCCATGCTAGGCCGAGTGAATGATTTGCGAAACTTAGATTGTTTTGCGGATGTGTTGTTGTGTTGCGGTGATCAAATCTTGCGAGCTCACAAAGTGATCCTTGCGTCCAGCAGTGGTTATTGGGACTCCGTGTTCCGCCGGCTTCCACCTGAAGCTTCTGTGCGGTATCCGATCATTGTTATGCCGGACACGGCTGTCGAGGTCCTTCAGCTCATGTTGGAATTCATCTACCTTGGACAAGTCAGTGTGACCAGTGAGCAAATGCCCGACTTCATGGCGCTTGCGGAAAGGCTTCAGATTCATGGCTTGGTGGACGCCAAGATGCCGAAGCTTGCCTCAAATGCGTCTGCCAAGAAAGACGTGAAGAACGAATGCTGGATGGAGGATGATGCGTCGGAGCTTGCACCTGAAGATGAGGATTGTGAAGATAAGTTGGAAATCAAAGGAGAAGCAGCGGAAGAGCTTGCAGCAAGTCCAACTAATGTCAAAGGAGATCTCATTGACGGAGAGGATGTAAATAGTAACGGGATCGAAGTTAGTATCCCGGAGGCAATTTCTCCTGACGTGAGTGTCAAGTTTCAATTCTTATTTCACATTGCCATTGTTCGCATTAAGGTTGTTTGATGATCCAAAGCATTCACGTACATCCAATCAGTTGGATATCTTGTTGATTCGTGGGTCTCAGTTCGGTCTGAACACTGTCGAAGACCTGCGTATCTGTAGAGCCCACTGTTGAACTGATTCACATGGAAGGCCCGAGTTCTGATCGTGTAGTACCAGAAACTATGTTGTATCATATTTTAGGCAAACTCTCATTTTCCCTGACGAAAAATTTGTGACGTTTCAGTGAAATACGGGACATGATGTTGTCCGATTCATACCTAAATTGCTTGAAAATGTAAGCGAATTTATTTCTCCGCACAGGACGAAATCAAGCGAGTCACCAAATACATGTGGAAGGGGACGGGTGTGGCAACAAAGGCTCCAACCTATTTTTGTGCTGTCTGTGGTTTCTCCTCACCGTGGAGTAAAGTCGCAAGAGATCATCAAAGGATACACACGGGTGAAAGGCCGTATTCTTGCACCACTTGCGGCAGAAAATTCTCCGTTCGCAGCAACCTCCGGAGGCACCTCCGCAACATCCATAACATCGATACTCAACCTGTTGCGGGCGAGCAGAATGGGAAAACGTAAGGGGGTCGGTGAGGATATCTTTGTGAAATCAGGAACAGGGTGTTGCTGAAAATGTAGGCTCGAGGATGATGATAATCATGCGAATATGTTGTGACATTGCATCGTTAATGGAGTGTTGATCAACAACAAAAAATAAGTGCGCTGCTTCTTCCGTCCGTAGGAGCTAAATTTTTTTTTTTGGCTCGAATAATGATGTCCATAATGTAGTAACCTTTCTGGGTGCTTGCAGCGCACAAACGGCGTCCAAGAGCCCACAAAATTTCCCATTCCTTGTTTGTACAAAGTTCTGTAAGATGGCTATGGCCCCTGCACCAGACGACGCGTCAAGTTTCACGAGCGAGCAAGATCGCGTGACATCCTTCGTCCGCGCATTCATGTCACCTTGTGAGAATCGAAGATCCATTTTGTAGATCTCTCAATGGCGAGGAGATTTTATTTTTTTACTGATGTATCCACTCTTGCTATTTTTCTAATGTTCTTCCTGACCGAAATCTGAGCTGACGTTGTTCGGGCGGCTGAGAAACGATATTTGCCGCCACGAATGTTGCTGCGAAACCAAGTTGTTGAAGTGTTTCCAGATGGAAGATTTTCTTGTTTGCGACGGGAAGCAAGTGCGACCTTTCGTGTCCCTTTCACAAGATGTAATTGGCGAGCTTCCGAAGATTTTTTATCGTATGTCTTTTATTCCTGCCTCAAAAGTGGTAGGGAAACCGCCGCGTATTCCGTCGCATAAGTGAAAGGAACGTCCGGTACCATGCAATTCTTTGCGCCTTTCGATACGCAACTCTGGCTGTTGGCTTGAACATTTGATCTTTGCTCACTGGTTGTATGTTCAAAGCGTGTCGTGAATTTTTTATTCATTCCTTGTTATTCTGCATGAGGTGATTGTCCTTCTGCAATCAAAAATGTATCTCGGGCGGGCGAAGGAATAAAATTTTTCGGGAGGGGGGGGGGGGGGGGGGTATTGCCGTTTTGACGTATTTTTACAGAAACAATTGTGTCAAAGCAAACCCGCAGAAAATGTTATGGTTAATGATGAACTTGCCAGCAAAGTGCACTTCATGCAGGCAATGCCTGTTTTTGAAATCCGGCCGATTTGTGAGACAAGCCGGCATATAATTATTGTTTGTTGATTCGATCATTTGCTCCATGGTAATGAATATTATTCTGTTACCGGTTGATGACAGATTATTGTTTTTGATTCGTGGATTTGGAATATGAACGGGAAGACGTATTTATGCACTACATCGCACCGAATGTAAATATCACTGTCGATTTCATTGTTGATGGAGTTGGGATGGTGATCAATGCTGATTTTTTTTTTCAGTGGACGGACCGAGTGCATTCTCCTATAGCTATTACGGTAAATCGTTCGTGATCAGGATTTCCGGCGTTGCACTATGTTTTCTCTCTCATATTCGTGGACATTTTTTCGAATTATTAGTGCGGAAGTCGGGCATTTTGACTTCGGGATGAAACCGGGTAACTCCTGAAATGTTGGGGTATGCTACGAAAATGTACGTCAATGGCAGGTCAATTTTTTCAAATGAATATGTAGCTGTCGTTATCACAGTATTCCTGTGGTATTTAATAATTTAAGTGGCTAGGAATGAAATGCATTATCCTTTTTAATTTAGAATTATCCAAAACTTTGAATTGGGATTCGCTGTATCTGCGCTGGAATCTGACATTTTTATCTGAAGCTCTGACGCTCTGTTTTTGTGCCTACGCAGATGTAAATCTTGTCATAGTTGATGTTTTCTGTGTAGGCCAGTCCAAGTGACGAATTTGCTGATCGGACGTAATCGAAAATGTTGTTGGACAGCAGTTGTCAAGCGTTACTTCCATGGAATGAACATTTTGGAATTCGCTAGGAACGCAAAATTTGTCCCTGCGATTGGGAATTCGTGTCCTGGAGCCTTCAGTTGGACGGCGATGACGATGCCCGTTTGTTCGATCTTGAGGGCTGCTTGCTACGACTGTGTTCGCATATGCCACGAGTGATCTACGATGAATCGTTCGCAAGAAGATGATGCCTTCATGTGAATGAATTGGCTTATAATCATAAATATGTACTTTTTTACACTGTCGTCAGTTCAGGTGGCCGTGACAAAAAATTCAAAGAGGAAGATTCAAAAACCTGCATCTCCGGCGATTATGAGCAATAAACGTTCGAAAAGAAGGGACACTGCGTGAGTTCATGTAATTTGAACCCAGTCGTTTCTGGACATCATGCATTTGTATTGATTCGCTGAATAGTTGAAGATACAAGTCATTGTTATGTACCTTTATTTCCTTAATTTCTGAATAAACTCAGATTTTATATTACTGCTGAGCTGAATAACTTTCTTGATTATCTTTCCTTCTGGAAAAGTATTCAGTATCAATATAAAAATTTAATATTTTGGTATCTCGCTGGGCATAAGCAGAATATAGTTCAGTACTGAACTCGTACGTTTTTATGTACCACCGGACCAATACTGGTTACGTATACAGTATGTGGAGATAATGCTAAAAGTTTTGCTGGAAAAGAACTGATTGTGTCCTCTTCAATCATGAGTTGGTAGCGAGTTATATTTACTGTTTTAATTTATAATAGAAAATCGCATGTCGTTTCATTTGATGTGAAATCCTATATATAATGTGACGGGAACCCAAAATACATAGACAACTTTCTTTCTTGTCGAAAGTTGTCATACGCCGACCGGAGGTACTCAAAAATCACGTGTTTAAAAGTTTCTGATGAAAAAAGAGGAACATCCCGATTAATTCTCTGTAATGGTGATACCCTATGTGTCATGAAAATTCCTCGCATTTTTCGAAGAAAAAAACTATTCCCCCGCATGTACAGTAGTCCTTATTCATACAATATTTCTAATGAAAGCAGACTGGCTTGAAATGGGATACTGTACTACCATATTAAAAACTTCGTCTCAATGATGAATATTGTTTGCTAAGGTTGGAGCTTGGAAAGGTAATCCTCTTCTGTCATGTTGGAAAATGTGCTTATTCACGTGTCCCATCAATCTCAGTTATGAGAAAATGTCAGTGTTGGATTCTGGTTGGCATGAAATCCCTTGTCATTATAATTGAACAGTTTATACAGTCCCAATGAAGGAAAAACGATGTTTGTTAGTTTGAAGGTTCAATTTAATTTGTCCTGGCAATTTTGATGAAACTGGAAAAACAGCCAAAACTCTGAGGAAAGTATGCAAATGTATACAGTAGTTGAAAATGCTAAGACGAGCAGAAATAAGTCTGATGGACGTATTATCCCAATTGATGAAGCGCTTGAACACCACCTCAGTTTACTTTCCCGAAGACGAGCTGCTGCTGCTGGGCCTAAAGAAATACAGAAAAAATAAGTTCAATATTTACCAAGATGTGACTGAAATTTGCGGAACTTACTTCTTGTGATACTTGGGGTATTTCACTTTGTAGTATTTCTTGGGTCCATTGCTGGAAGAACTGCTGATGTAACCTGGCCTGTTTAAAATAACGTAATGGGAGAAATGCCCATTCTTGGAGTGAACAAAGTTTTGAGATCTGAAGCCATCCGAAGCAATGAAAGAAAACACCATTATTCAGAAGAGATCTATGAATGTCTCACATTGCAGCAGCATGAGGATCAGCATTTGGCAAAGTAGATGCACTGAAGATCAACCCAGCGATGAACAGGAAGGCGAAGATCAACTGTAGGCTCAATGAAAGCATTTATTCGCAAAATTCACACAAGAAAATTATAATTTCTGAATAATACCTTTCCAAAGGACAGCATGATGTTGATGATATATTTTATTATGGTTAGGTGGCCGATTCGAAGTGATTTTGAATCCTGAAACCAAGTAAAAGAAATTTGAAGTATCAAATTGTCAACGAATCACATAGAAAACTTGAACAGTTTTTTTCCTCTGACTATTAAAGCTTGAATGGAAGTAAATGCTGCGAGTTTTTTTACTATGCTGGACTTGAATCACAAAGCAGGCTTTTATATGCACCACGTTTCTCGTTCTCGATGTTACACCACGATTGGCACAAGGACGATGTAATGGGAGCAAAAATAAAAATCGTTTGTGGTTCTTTCTTCGCGTGCTTCGAATCCCCTTTTGGAGTCTCATCCTCGCATGGTGGACTGAACAATGCAAGCTTCGTAATCAATTTCAACTTCATATTGCAGTACATGTACTTGCCCGCCCAATGTGGAAATTCATCTAGAAGGGTACGGATGATACGACCAGTGAAAATTTTCTGTCTGTCGCCACACTAGGCTTTTAAAATTACTTTTGTTTTGAATCTAGGATTAGATGAATTCATAGGCAGTGCTGCAAGAAATAATAAAAAAAGTTCTAAAAATCTTCTAGTACAGGTGGAATCTCAAAAACTATTTATTGTCTAAAAAAATTTTCTCTGCACACTGAATGAATGAATGAATGAACAGAACACTTTATTTGCCGCTTTTCAGCATTTAGATTTTAGAAGGTTCAATCAAGATTTCCACAACTGCACACAGCTGTACATTGCATTTTCTTTGGTCCTCTGTGGTATTCTTCCCAAGTTGCTGTACAGTATAGGACTTTTGCACAACAAAATTCTCTCAGCCTGAAATTTTGTTCTGGTACCTACACTTTTGTTGTAGACAGAGTCAACTTTATATGTTCAACTGTCTATATCTCCTTCATAATTTCAAAGCTGAATTGCCGTTTACCTTTCCTTTTTGAAAATTAAAATGAAAAGTTAATTCCAATGCTGTATACTGGAAAAATATTTGTTTTCTCTATCCTTGGACAAACGCTAATTATTTCTGTAAAGTCAGAGGAAACCTGATGCCGCATAACTTCATTGCTTGTTCTGAAGAAAGCTTGAAAACAAGTGAGTTACTAAAATTCATAGCGTACTATTCATGAAACGCAGAAATTGATTTCCGTGAACAATATGATGACCAAGGAAGGGTGAAAGAAAGTTTTCAAAATTTTAGTTTGAGATGGATTCATTAACAGTTTTTAAAAATCAAGTCCAACTCACGAACTACAGCTATGCGCAGAATATGTCAAAGTGAAAATGCTCCCCTTTTTAGTTGCCTTTAGTTTTAGTTGCCAAACCATGATAAATAAAATTTATCATCAAAAATATTGATGCCTGAAATCAGTCCTAAATGTCATTTGCCATTTCAAATTCACATAATCACGAAGTAATCATTTGATACCCATTCGGCTATTTTAATGTGCTTGTTGAATTGGATCAGTAACTATTCATCAATTTGACAGAAGCAGTGAGTTAGTGAACATCAATAATTTTTCATTCACATCATGTTCAAGTGAATTTCATCGGTACAGTATTTTCCTTTTTTGTAGGATCCTTTATATCCTTAACTGCACAGATGTGATATCTGGCCATCCAACGCAGAAAATATTGATAGTAATAATTGCTGCCGATGAATTTTTGAAAACGAATAGGCAGGGATGATGGTGCAAAACATTCCGACAGCGCTGGATATGTCGTAAAATGCTGCAATTGTTTCATGATTGAAAGTCTTATTTTAAGATGTAAATTATTTCATGATCATCAAAACTAAGCATTGGAAGAATTATAAAAACATCAGAAATATTAGTTGTTAGTTTACTGATATCACATACCATACTGCAGCACTGCTGGGAAATGTTATTGTATGATGATTGAAATCGATGGTATTCGGATTTTGCACTGCTCTGCGGTAATTCCCAAGTACTCAATTAGCAGTATCCCGATTGTATGAAGGCGCGTCAAACGCTCAACAAACTGGCGATTATAATATTGTAGCGTGTAAATTTATCCCCTTTTTTGTTGAGGAAATGGGTAACAATTTTTGTTCACTTCGAGAACCTTTGAACAAATCGAAACGTGAAGTTGAAATGCATCAATGATATATTGCACATGCTTCTCAGACTAAACCAAGAATTTGGGAACATTACAAAGCCCAGGATTCTTGGAGAATCCCCGAGATTTCCGTAATGCCGAAGATAATGTCGTACGATGCGGCACTTCGTGGTACTGTATTTCTTTGGTCCACTATAGCTCCCAAGCTGGGAGAACTGCTGACGTAATCGGGCTGCATATGTAGAACGCATTAGGGAAAATGCTCATTTTTAGTGAATATAATTACATTATTACCCTTAGAGATCGCAAACCATCTATAGAGACGATAAAAACACAATTGAAGAAGCGATCACTGTACCGCCGCGTCACATCGCAGCACGATAAGGATCTGCAAAGGATGAAGCAGACGCTTTGAAAATCAACCCAGGTATAAACAGGGATGATGCGAACATCAACAGATCTAAAGATGGCTTGACTGAATTTCCGGGTATGAAAGCCATACTGTTGCTGTATATACGAGTACAGTATATACCATATACTCGGAGCAGCTGTGAAGTCCGAAAAAAGGAATCCACTTTGAATAGACTAATTTTTTTCAACAAAAATTCGTCGTTTTCCGGTTTTGAAGTTGAAATATTTGCATTTCGTTCGCTTTGGCAGTGGTGATGAAAATAAAAAGGCAGTCGAATCTCTGCGGGAAATATGCAAACAGAGGTTGAAAATGTTAAAAGTAGAAAGAAGTCTTGGATAGAGTCATCATTCCAAGGTTGATGGAGAACTTGTAGCAATTCAGTTTACTTTCCCGAAGACGAGCTGCTGCTGTGCCTTAAGAAAAAAAGGCGAATCCAGTTTTTACCAAGATGAATGATTCTCGTGAATGAAACGTGTGGAATCGAAACGTACTTCTTGTAATACTTTGGGTACTTCACTTTGTAGTATTTCTTCTTGGGCACACCACTGCTGGAAGAACTGCTGCTGTAACCAGGCCTAGAAGAACGAGTTCGGAAAAAACTTGCATTTAAAAAATAAATATACTGTAGTTTTGAAATTAAAATCCATGCGATTCAATAGAAAATGAAATCATTGGAAGTGAAAAATTGAATTAACGACTCACATTGCAGCAGCATGAGGATCGGCATTTGGCAAAGCAGATGCGCTGAAAATCAACCCAGCGATGAACAGGAAGGCAAACATCAACTGTAATATTGGCGGACAGAAAAAACAATTTCCTTCGCAACATTTTGGACAAGAACACCTTTAATTTTAGAATCAAACCTTTGTAAAGGACAACATGATGATGATGCTGCAGATGATGTATATAGTTCGGTGGATAATGAGGTTACTTGAT